AATTGCAAAACACTGAAAAGGTAGCTGTTGTTTGACAAACAGATATACCACATGCTATTGTGCATCATTCATTCAACACAAGCAAAGCCAAACAAAAGAAATAAACACTCAGGTTTCTTCTTTTTAATTCACATATTTTTTCTTTTTCTTCCCTCAAAAAAACCAAGGGGCAGATTAAACCAAAATTTAAATATATCCTGACAAAACCTTGTTTCACATACATAGAATCTTAGACTATAGTTAATGCAAACTGGAAGAAAACAATATAGAACAGACTTCTAGTTAACGTCTAATAATATGTCACACCCTCATCCACGGAGAGAAAATCACTGGTAATTTTTATAAAACAGTAACTAATGGAAACATCTTTAACTTCTTTCCATTACTCTACTCCATTAACTGTATTTTAAAAAACAAATCATCTTTACAATCCATTTTTATCAACACCATCAAACACAAGCTAATACTTGTAATAGTTTAGAAACCAGAAAATTATTTAGGAGAAACAGATTTCTCCAACTGAAAAACTCAGTTCCCTAACAAAGAATATACATTATTATGTCTGGACTAGGCACAGATTTTAGTGAAAATTTGTAAAATTACCAGGTATTTAAAAAAAAAAAGTCAGGCTTACATTGAAGAACCAGTATTTTCACATAAGTTTCATTATAGGCAGTGAACTACAAAAAAATCACAATTGGCTAACAAACTCAGAAAGCAGAGTTTTAACTATTGTATACGTGATACAGCCTGTTAAGTTCAAATAATCAATTCAAAGGGAAGACTTAGATAATTGTATTGGTTAACAAACATGCAGTTCATAGAATACCACGTATTGAGTGCAGTTTAAAATAACTCAAATAAGGAAAAGAAAGAATGAATGCAGGACTGGATCAATAAAAAGGTATGTTTGATTCAGAACAAAGATACTGCTTACATTTAGTGGCAAGAGCTACTCTCCATATTCAGTAAACAAATTAATTGTAAGAAAAACACACAGGATTATCAATCTGTAGAATTAGTAATACCAAAAAAAAAAAAAATCAATATGCATCATAAAATTGTATACACAAGTTAACCTAAGCAAACGAGGTAAAGCAAATTCTTACCTGCATGTGGAGCACGAAGAAGGTGGATATTCTGTTTGACTTCTTTGATGTCTTCTGCCTTCTGCAACTCTTTGCTCTTCTTTAATCTGGGGAAGAGGAAAATGAAATCTCATTACCTTCAAAGAAGAGATGTATGTTTTCATTTTAATGCATGACATATCTTTAGCTAAAGGTATGTTAACTGTAAATAACTACGATTATGATGAAATAAAGGCAGACAGTATTTGAAAACCAATTCAATCATATGCTGGGTATAAAACCAGGAAAAAAAGCCAGCACTGTATCAACTCTTACCAGAAATTTGTTTAAATCCAAGACTCCCTATTACAAACTAGGGAATATAACTATTATCATTGAGTATCCCAAAAAGTTGTATTTCATTGGACAGCCAATAAAGCATAGTAGTTTGGTAGTGTAGAAGAGCCCACTCAAACTATTTTACACCATCACTTGCATGACTGTGTATGCACAAAGCAAATAACCATTTAAAACTTTTGATCATCGTTTCTCTGGAAAGATTCACCGTCTAATACAGATTTGCGAGAGCTTCCATAACAAATACTTCTCCTCACCTGTTCACAATAAACCTAGCTTGGCGTTTTTGCTTTATTTCCTCCACTCTCTTCATCGCATCAACTGAAACAAAGAAGAAGTTGTTTTAAATGTGCTTACATACCTACAGTTGAAAATACGTGCTATTTTGCGGAGCAGCACTACCAGTATTCCATAATACCTCTACATCAGAGGCAACTCTTATACTATATAGAGGAAGTTATTCCTTCTTCAAAGAGCAGAGTAGGGGAATATTCTGTGTACCAACTATGACAAATTGTATTTTAAAACTTATTTACGCTTTCACTTTTGTGCCTACACATAGTTTCTACAACTAATCATCACTACAAAAGACTCTTACTCTACTTGAAATCAGATGCCAGTTACCACCTTCTCCTCTGTGGCATTCACTTGTGACATAAGTCACTCTTCCATTTTATAGCAATTGATTTATTAAACAAAATGAACTGGAATGAGAGGGAACAAAGAAACAACTGCATCAGTAGAAAAGGCTTACACTGGAAGCATCTTAAAAAGCTGAAGAAGCACTAAGGCTTTTTTTAAGATAATAATTCCAAATAGAGAATGCTGCACCTCATTTTCTAACCAGTTTCTGAAAAAAAATAAAATCAAGTGAAATTCCACATCTGTTCACAACCTAAACCTCCTCCACACATAAGAATTTGGTCATGATTCCAGTAATTTCAAACACAATCACTACAAAGTGTCAATACTCTAAGAAGTCTGCTGAAAACATGTTCATGTAGAACAAAAACTCACTCCCCATAGTCCGTCTTTTCTTTTTTCTAAAATAACTCACCAGTCTTGTTCCACAACTCTCTCTGGTATTTCACTGGTTCATTTCTACGTTTTTCAAACTCAAATGAATTATCCTATATTAAGAAAAAGTAAATAGAGATTGTATACAGAAGCATATTTAGACTAATACATTCTTACTATAGCTCTCACTCATATAACTTAATGTTCTACATGATATTCCCACCCCCCCCTTTCAGAATCTCAGTTCCTATACTGTAACAACCTTTAGAGATTACTAAACTAGAAGGAAATAGAGTGGAGTGTTTGACCTCAAAGTGTCAGAAGTCGAACTATTTATCAAGTGTCAGAAGAGAACTATTTACTATAGCTCTCACTCATATAACTTAATGTTCTACATGATATTCCCACCCCCCCCTTTCAGAATCTCAGTTCCTATACTGTAACAACCTTTAGAGATTACTAAACTAGAAGGAAATAGAGTGGAGTGTTTGACCTCAAAGTGTCAGAAGTCGCAGTGATTTGTCTGAAGAGAACTATTTATCAAAACATCTCCCTCGGATATTTTCTTTTTAGCAAGACAAAAGGAACAGAGAAGACCAATGTGGAGTAGGAAATACAGACTAGACTAGACAGGTGGAAGGCAAAATTGAAAACGTGTAGAGTCAAAAGCATTTAATGCAGGTCAAGTAAGTTCTACTCAACAGCCTGCAATTTTGAAAATTCACTGCAGTTTATCCTGAACTGTGTCAGCTTTTACGTTATTTATAATACACAGTATTGTTTCGTATCATGAGAACACACCACAAACAGCAAAAAGAAGTCTCGTAAGAGTATAGATGTTCAAAGTACCATGGTCCTCTAAGCTACATGCAGAAACTACAGCTGCCTCATACTGGTCAATGGATCTTTTCAATTCTAAACATGAGGGTACAGCATGACCAACTCTTCAGTCTGAGTGACAGAATATGACAGTCCTTCAGAAATACCTTGTGAACAACCACATGGCAAGATTATGTCCTTAATTTTTTTGTTGTTTAATAAAAAATACCCTTGAAACCTAGGAAAACAAGTAAATAATCCCTATCCAATGTACCTGTTTAAAGCAGCAAGAACTGTCACCTTCTTACAAACTCCAGTATTTCCCATTGTCACAAGCCTATTTAGACACTCCCCAAAGCTTGCTTAGGGAAGAATGGATACCAATCAAATTACAACAAAGCACTATGTTTATATACTGGTTTAATTCGTAGCATACATAGATATATCTCAAAATTGGAGCATATTGTCACCTATTTAGACATGTATAAAGGAATTTTATATTAAGCTCTTTTCAAAAAGGTAATTAGCCAGAAACAACTTGAAAGTAAGAAATACAATTACAGAAGATGCTAATTAATTGTGGCTTCTCAGAGACACATTAAAAAATAAGTCACATTCTTCCCCTTGGAAGATCCACAAAAGGCAGCAAATCACTGTGTCAAAATACTTACTAAATTGTTAGTATTCTGCCAAAAAGGTAATTAAGCCACAGTAATTCTTATTTAAGGGCTATCCCACCAAATATGAGTGTTTAGTACTTTCACCACTGAAGTAACTTTTTCTTGAAACTGTTTTTAAGATCTCCTATGCTGTTTTTGAAACATTCCTATTTACACAAGGACTCTTCCTATACATTTTATGCTTTAAGGAGATTTCAAAAGGTAACTATTTTATGTGCCTACACAGAGAGACTTCCTGTGGTAGCTGGTAACCCAGATTATCTGATTGTGCTGAACCAGTGCTGTTTAATATCTTCATCAATGACATACACAGTGGAATCGTGTGCAGCCTCAGCAAGTTTGCGGATGACACCAAGCTGAGAGGTGTGGTTGACACACCTGAGGGACGGGATGCCATCCGGAGGGACTTGGACAAGCTTGAGAGGTGGGCCCATGAGAACCTCATGACATTTAACAAGGCCAAGTGCAAGGTCCTGCACCTGGGTCAGGGCCACCCCCAGCATCAGTACAGGCTGGGGGATGATGTGATCGAGAGAAGCCCTGCGGAGGACTTAGAGGTGCTGGTGGATGACAGG